AAGATTCCCCCATCCGGCTGCCATTTTGGCTGCCCGGTAAGCGAGGGCAGGGCGCGAAAATGCTGCGGGTGGGCATTTTGCTGATCCGGCGGCCATTTTGGAACCGCCAATCAGCTGTTTTCTAAACATCGCAATGCGAAGATCGGTAAGCGAAACGCTTACTGATCATCGCAATGTGATGTTTAGCCTATCTAAACATTGCAATGTGATTACATTAGCGATCGCAAAAAGCGCGTTGCTATGCAGATTCATCGTTAAACGTTGCGCTCGTTATGCTAGGCACCACTGTACAGTGAAAAAGATAAAACAATTAAAATACAATTAAGATACATACTGTAAAAATTGCCATCAGGAGCCATAATTGATATTATTTCAATTAAAAGCTTCTGGAACAGGAAGGTTTTGACCTGGAGCTGAAATGTCATCAGCACCAGACGAATCTCAGTCGGGAGGGCGTTCCATAGTCTGGAGGCAGCTGCTGAAAAGGCCCTTTGTCTATAAGCCATCCCTCTTACCTCCTTGAGGGAATGGTTCTTTCAAAAGGGCCCCCTTGGCTAGATCTTAACTGCCAGGTAGGCTCATATGGAAAGAGGCAGTCCTTCAGGTATCCAGGGCCCAAGCCGGTTAGGATTTTATAGGCTAAACATTGCAATGTGATTACATTAGCGATCGCAAAAAGCGCGTTGCTATGCAGATTCATCGTTAAACGTTGCGCTCGTTATGCGAGGCACCACTGTACAGTGAAAAAGATAAAACAATTAAAATACAATTAAGATACATACTGTAAAAATTGCCATCAGGAGCCACAGTTGATATTATTTCAATTAAAAGCCTTCTGGAACAGGAAGGTTTTGACCTGGCGCTGAAATGTCATCAGCGCCAGATGACTCTCAATTGGGATGGCATTCCATAGTCTGGGGGCAGCTGCCGAGAAGGCCCTTTGTCTAACAAGCCGTCCCTCTTACCTCCTTGAGGGAATGGTTCTTTCAAAAGGGCCCCCTTGGCTAGATCTTAACTTCCGGGTAGGCTCATATGGAAAGAGGCAGTCCTTCAGGTATCCAGGGCCCAAGCCGGTTAGGACTTTATAGGTCAAAACAAGCACTTTGAATTGGGTCTGGGCAGCAACTGGTAACCAATGTAACTTAAACAGAATTGGTTTGATGTGTCCCCTAGCGCAGAGAAGTCTTTTAAGCACCTGTGCAAACTGCAGATCCCAGGATTCCATAGGATGGAACCTTGACTATTAAAGGGGAATCTAAACTGCCGCGGCTGAGTAATGCAGGCCCTGCTATTATCACCTTCCCATCCTGCCAGGGCATGCCTACTGGATGTATCAAAAAGGACTTCTCTTGTATTTTGCAACCTGCCTTATCTAGCATGTCCTGTCTTGGCCACACATCATTTGCCTTTCTTCCAGCTTATTCAGGTGCCAGTGACATTCCCTCTCTGAAAATTAGAGATTGATAACATGACAGAGACCAGGAGTGATCACACATGCTCTTGTGTTTACTGTGCTAATTAGTAGGACTCTGTAATATAGTGTAATGTGAACACTTCAGCTAGAGCTGGTGACGGTTAATGTATAGATTTCCAATAGGCTCATAGGAAAAAAAGAAGATTGAGGCAGGTTCTAGAGCTAAGAAATTCTTTTCCAATCTCTAAATGAGTGATACAGCTTGGTGTTTACCTTACTTAAAGGCACAGTACTTACAACAGTACTTATAAGTTTAGAAATCCTGTGCATCGCCATGAACTCTAGATAGGGTTTCAACCAAAGAACTGCTCGTTAACAAGGTAGTCTTCCTGGAAAAGTCTTGCGCTTTGATTAACACTTGTAAATGTACTCATCGTCTTTTCTGGGATTTTTCCTAAAACTTAAGAAAATGCAGGGGTTTGCCTGCCTCGAGCCTTCCCAAACTCAGCCCTAACTAGCGGCTTCCCTACCTCTCCCCCATCTAGCAGTTAAACTACGGTATTGGACTGCATTCTAAATCTCCCTCTTCCACCTGATTAACTGTGGCTTTGCCAAGGTGTAATTGGCTAAGACGCTACTTGGATGCTTCTCAATTTACTTCTCGGTCACACACAATTGCCCATAATGCTTCCCTGTATAATTGCATCGGGAAATCCCAGTCTTTATTTTTTTTCACTTACCTTTTGAATGTGGTCCAGCTCTCTCTTTTTAACAAGGGTAAATTCAGTATAGGAGCTAAAGAAAGTTTACATCAACGTCAGATCTAAATTGTGGGTCTTCCCAATCTTATTTTGTTTTGTTTATTTTATGTCTCTCACCTTTTTTCTACAACTGAGACCAAAGGCGGCCCATAATATGTTTTAAAGACAGGCACTACTGAAAGCAATATGAAGTTAGATTAAAAACAAATTAGTTGTAGTAAAGGAATGCAATTCAAAAGCACCTTAATTAAAATAATGAAAAAGCATACTTGTTAAGTACTGAAAAACAAGAAAACTCTGCCTGGTCCTTATACAATAGAAGTGAAAGGGCAGGTTTTACCTTTGTTAAGCCACAAAAAGAAAAAAATGAACAAGCAGCTAGCTTTCAAGCATGTGGTCCTTATACAATAGAAATGAAAGGGCAAAGAAAAAAAAAAGAAAAAAAATGAACAAGCAGCTAGCTTTCAAGGTTGATCTGTCCTACTTAACAATGAAGTCCATGTTTACCACTCTTGTGTCCAATCACAAGGCAAACTAATTTGTAAATTGAGGAAGGTACCGCTCATGCTGTAATAATTGGTTGTGATTCGGTGTTTAAGGAATTCTTTCATTTGTGATATGATCTCTAATGTAGATTTTCCTCTATACCCAGCACCGAGCTTTGCAGAGCGACTCGTAATACTAGTTACATGCCATCAAGCTGATTCTGACGTCCTCTCAACCTTCTCAGGCCTTTCTAGATATAAGGTACTCAGAAGTGGCTTACCATTTCCTCCTTCTGGGGGCACTCTGGATCCTTATAATATCTTTTTCATGGCGAGGGCAAGAAAAAAATGTTGAAAAAGAGGCAAAAAACCAAAAAGAAATACAGTACCAACTCCAAAGGGTCAAAGGCTGCATTGTGTGACTGTGCCCATCCTTATTTATTACGTTCATTACACACACACGCACACACACACACAGAGAGAGAGAGAGAGAGAGAGCTCAGGGCGTAGGAAAGTTCATTTTCCTGCAAATGCTGGAAGATAACTTTTTGGAACACCAGCCTAGAATCCTGTCAGAAGGCCAACATGAGGAGATTTAGATTGGTGACAGGGGATACTATAACAGGCCACTAATAAAATATCATGCAAAATGCAAGCTTTTGTGGCTGAATGACATGGTCAGAGGGACTGTTGACATCATCTTCAGGACTCAGCCAATCCCAAGGGTACTGCTGTCGCCTTGGGAACCCAACCCAAATCACCTGGGTCTTTGTGACCTCACAGGGCCCCACCTCTCTGCTGGCAGATAAAAGGGGCTTGCTGGGCAGGGCAGGAGACCAGAAGGGAGGCCAGTGGCCAGAG